TAGCTTTCCAGTCTGTAAAGCAGAATGCCGCGGTCCAGATGGTCCAAGGCTTTAGGGAAGTCGAGACAAATGCCATTGGTCCCTCTTTGTCGGTCTCTCCCGTCCAACTACCGTATGCAATCAGTAGGTTGGTTGTGCATGATTGGTGCTGGCAGGAACCGAGCTGCTCCGGTGCTATGATGTTATGGCGTTCTAGATGGTTCACTAAAGTCTCAGGGCTGAATGCCTCCACCACCTTTGAAGATGCAGGGAGCAGGACCATTGCTTCCGAACGACTATCATTTTTAAAAATTGGTGTGGTTACTTCATGTCTCCACATGGTAAAGGCCATTTGTTTACCCATGCACGTTTGGGAGAAAAACGCTAATGACTGGACCAACGCTGTTGCTGTTACGTTCACCGCCCTCGGGTGAACGTCACCAAATTCGGGAGAATTGAAGGTGAACAATAACAGCAGCTTCCAAAACACATTTGCGGTGGCAAACGTGATGTGAGTAAGCGGTGATACTGGGGCGACGGATGTGAGTACGTAACGTTGGCGGATGTCTCGTTGGAAGGCCGGAACATATTACGCACGTAACGCATTGACTGTTTCTTCGGCGCTCCGCGCGATTCCAACTGTATGTTAAGCGGGGGATACCGGGCTTTACTTTTTGAATGGTGTTAGCATGTTTATGTAGGAGGCTTTTGTTTGGGGAAACTTACAAGCCAGATATTATTGGTGGGACACTTTGCCCTCTCCGACGAGAAAATTACAACGGTTGCGCTCGGCCACATAGTCGCTCGAGGTTCCTTGACCGGGACGGGCTCTGTAAGCGCACCAAGTTACATTCCTTACTAATACGAGTTTTCGATGGCTTGCTAAACGAACCCCTTGGTTTATGAAGCAGCGACGATCAGATTGAAAGTAAGTTCAACAAACTGAATCCACACGTTGTCAGCAGAGTCATCATTCAAGAAGTTCCGATTGGTTATCGTACCCAGATATGCCAGGATATGGTAGCGTGTGATGATGCGCGTGGATTCATTGTGTTCCTTAGGTTTTCAGCGTCACATATATAGTTGTAGAATATAGCAACATGATCGCTTAGCCTATGAATTCTAACTGTTTCCAGTAGTCTAGAAATTTATCATCGATGAATCTTAACACAGACCCAAGCATATTAGAGGAAAGCATTTCAGTTGTTCGTGTTTCTTTCCATTGTCCGCCATTTTGGAGAATGGCATGATTCGTGTTTTTGGTGGCGTGATGGGCGGCATCCTCAGTGCAGCAGCAGTAGTTTGCATAGAATGTCTCTTACGCTATCCAAAGGTGTGCGACCAGTGCAAAAGCATACGCTTGTTGCTAAACTTTCGGTAATAGGGGGGGGGGGATAAACGCTGATGTAAGGTTGATGCGAACTCAATAGCTACATCTTCGAGAGCAGTTCCTCGAACCAAGGATGTGTCACCAGTTAGTATACACAGCCAGAATGTTCACCAGTTTTGGAGTTCCAGTTATAGGGTGTGTCAAACCCTGTGCTAGTTAATTTGTCACCCACAGCAGTAAATCATGGGCTTCGGATGAAGGAGCACAAACAGAACAGTCTGAGTAATCTGAAAAGAACAATGAGACTGAGATTGGGAGGCGCACGAATTTCGGAATGTTTCGTCCACGGTATCAGCAACAACATAATCGTGCATATCCTCTAACAGATAAAATCAAGTACATACAATACTTGAAAACAAAGGTAGATGACTGAATGAAACGCGACCTAAAGCCAATGCACCATTGCCCTTGACGATACAATACCGAGTTAATCGAACCCCTCCGTCACGATACGTCGCCTTGAATGATCGCCACGCCTTGCGAACCTCCTCCCCAGCTGGGCTGCGCCGTCGGACCTACTGACAACTACTTGGGTCAGACAAACTCAGTCTCCTGGTCTGCATGTCAGTGCTTGGAAGCAGTGTGACACACCATTTGTAAAATCTGTTAAACTCGTATATCGTCGCTGCGCAAAAAAAGCTTTAGCTGGACCCACTAATCATTACACTACACAGAAATAAGCGCCAGAACAGCATCCAAGTACAACCACAAATCTCCTCAGAATTTAACCCCACACTGAGTCACTGACTGCTAAGTAATGCGGATGCTTACGCTTTTTCCTTCCACGTTACTATTAAACGCCGGGACCCCATTAAATTGTATTATTAGAACCCCTAGCGTAAACGGCGAAGGTTACAGTTAAACCAAAGTTCTGCAAATTACAGCCATGGACGTAGAATAACAGACCAGCATCAGAAATTGTATCAGTAACACATCCGGACTGTCTGTAGGCGTTCAATGCTCATCCCATAAGACAGACACACCAACAGAGTCCACTTTCCCAGATTACTGTGAGTGCTGCCCATCAAAAACTAGGGTCAATGATAGTTGAACTAACTGTATCCAATTAGTCGTTTAGCACGCGCTCACAAATTAGACTGCATTGGACACCGATCCCATCTCCTGGACTGAGTCATCGACAATCGAGCGGAATTCCGTAAGCAACCATGTGCGGTCTGCTAAAGTCAACTGAGGCTGGCGTATGGAGGAGCGCAGGATTCAGTTTCATTGGGGTTTCCGCCTGTGACCAAAATGTCCGCAGACATGATCCTACCAAGGGTGTATACTAAGACTAAAGAAAAATGCTACTTAGCACTATTCTCATTGCAAGTTGCAGGTGATAATAAGGCGCAAGTAGTTAACCATAGTTCCTCTAAAAATCAGAAATGTGGGGAGCTTGAGCTTAACTCCTGAGGCATGTAGGATGGCGAGCGTTTGTTGTAAATGTGTGTGCGTGTGTCAACGACTGTTCCCCAGTAATATTGCCTTCACACACAGTGGGTGTCGAGGTGCTACGTGGTGCAACTCGGGGTAGATGGCCAGTGATGGATTTCATCAAGTGGCCACAACACCATAATCTTTAAGCAGTGGTTTTGTATGCTGGAGAACTTTCATCGAGCCGATTATGCCTGGGGTGCTATCAATTGTCCAAGAATATTGCCTGCAAGCGAAGTCAACGACTTCGTCCACCGGAAACCGAGAAATTGCCTCAAACCAACCTGGAAACCCAGAGTTCCAAACTCCACCCAGCTGATGTGAGGACATCGGGTTCCAGTGGAACTGCATCTCCGCTGACATAAATGACGCTGGGACTTCTGCTTTGTGACACGGTAGCTCATTAGTGCACTCACACTAGAAATCAGAAGCGTCGGTGAACCTGTTGGAATCCGGAATAAAAGTTCCTGCCGGCAGCTGGTTTGATGGATTCACATGTACTACAAAGCGAGAGCTGAAACCGAGCAAGTGCACTCACAGAAAAATCTGGTGGACTCGGAAGTGTAACGGATGGGAGGTACAGGGATGTACTGAAGGCTATTCCATTGAACACAGACGCTCGTAAATACTTTGGATAAAACATCGAAACTTAGCAGCTGCACCAGCAATGAAGAACGGGTGGTGATGGAACAGTTTTTATTAATTCGCGACAACCCTACCGCCAGAAGGAAGCCGTTGATGGTGTTGAGAGCACTTCTTCTCCATAGGAGTTAGACTAGATGCGTTCGATCTGAATATCCTAGGCGTCTTCAGGTATTCGACCATAACTGTTTGTGTTGAGTGGCGCTAGCGCATCTGCAACGTATGCGGGCAAATGTAGTCGGTGATGGTCATGATGTTTCTTTAGACCAAAGAAAACCAGATTGGATGTTGTATTAACTTTGGTACATGTTTGATGAACACTTTGTTTTGCACAATAACCGAAGTTAGGCGCGAGATTAAAGAGGAGTGTTCGTCGACATGTCGGTGTTAAATTTGCTGACTATTAGATTGTATCTTGTTGGTTTGGTCGGCCTTCGAGCATGGGGTTCAGACTAACTGATAAAATTTTACATGATGCGGCTCACAATCGGCAACCGCTGAACTTTTGTTGTATGGTAGCCGGCTCCCTTAGTTAAAGGTCACATGGTGGATAACCCATCGAGGTGCGAATCATAAGGAAGGGATCTAGTCCATGTCGCTCTATGTTAGTACAATATGCAACAGGATGTTATAGTGTGGCTCTGGTAAACTATAGGCGCCTTGGTATTGAAAGTTCATATTTGGCATGCAATAATCACATCAAATCCCACTATCTTAGCCCTTATGCAGTTATTCTCCAATCATAGGCTTTCTACAGTGGCATAGGAGCGAAATGTAAGTGGAGGTGTCTGCTAAGGATGGTAATAATCAAATCGACCGGAGTTTTCATCAAACGGAAAAGGGACCAGGACAGAAGATCAAGTGGAAACTAATGATACACGTCTTGTGGAGACATGTTGGAAAAAGTGAAACCGTCGAACACGGGTCATGAAAACCTTACACGTCGTATGACAATTAGTTCAATAAACATCTTACATGGTTATAGGATGATGTAGAATGCGACAGGTTAATTTTGGAAACCGTGAACTCCGTGCAAAATCCACAGAGGTAAACGGCACTATTGATGCATGGAATCTTTTGGACTGTGTAGTTAAAGCAAACCGGAGAGGCGATAGTCGTATGCGCTCAACGGAATACACTGGCGATGGTCTGTAGGCGTTGGGCATGATTTTAACAGAGAAGGAAATGATTGATCGATTAGTTCAATGTAAGCTAGTATGGAATAGAACTTGGCTGAAAAGAAAGTGTACAGGGAATGGTAGAATGTTCGGAAACTTCAGAAGCGGTGCAAGATAAACCGATAAGACAAACAAAATAAAAGCAAAATACATAAAGACAATCAGTTTGCTGCATTGAGCATCCATAAAGTAAATATTCAAAAAATTACCTTAGACAGCATTCGAGGTGAGCATAATAGACTTGTTTACCGTACCCGGAGATAAGGTGTACGGGAACAAGGAGCAATACCAATATACTTATAAATCTAATGAAGTGAATGTATAAAAGTTACAATGAAAACGTTAACTGGAGCAATTCCGAAGTTAAGTTCAGCGACTTATAACTTGTCCGATGAAGTGGTTACACCCACAGTGGTAGCAAAAAAGTTATTTTCCATAGTGCAAACCGTTGAAGGCTGTTGAGATTCAGTAGTAGGCAGAGAAAAACCGGACACGTTTGCGGGAGTCGGTGAATCGTGGTTGCCTGGAGTAGAAGCAACGGATAAGTGAGGTGACGGCACACTTGAGGAAGATGAGCTGTTAGGTGCTGCGCAATTGCTTACAGAGGGGAACAAGTGGCAAGAAGGACTGGGAGGATCCGATGCAACAGGTAGGCCTGGCGGCCAACGAAAATGCGACGTATCACATAGAGACACAACACGGCCATCTGATTGGCGCATAGCCTTGCGGCTACGGGAATGCGCGTAAGGATCGGGAGAGGCCTCCCGACTCGTGTCAGCACTAGAACCTCCAACAGTCACATTCGAAGATGCATGCCCTCGTTTTCTGTTCAGAGCAGTGGATATCAAAAGCGGACTTGCACTTCCTGGGTTAGACCGTCGAGGCGTCGGGGAGCTCGTCGAGGTCAAGAATCCCGGAGAGTAGCACTGAACCCTAGAAGAAACCGGGGAAGAGATGGGAGAAGCATGACCGGAAGATAGAAAGTGAGTTGTGGGACTCGTTGGAGCGCCACGGTTACTGTTTGGTGGAACGGGACAACAACTGTGAACGCTAGAACAAGAGGAGCCGGAACAAGTGACAGATATCACGAGAGGGCCGCTGAATGAATTAGGTCTGTGATTCGGACTGTTGTTCGAAGACGGAGACGAGGAACAATCACTTTCCATTTTGTCCAGCCCAGAGACACTTAAATTTGCCCAAGAAGAAGACAAGCGGGAAGTCTCCGTTAATAAGCGTTCATGTTTCACTTCATTCTCCACGTGATCCTCGGCGGATACGTAATATTGGGCAGAAATGCGCCGCGAGGTTTTACGTTTGATCATCAGAGATGAGAGAAACAAAGGCGTTAGATAGACATGATCGATCGAATGTAACCTGCAAAAAAATAAAATAAGCTGAGACGATTCCGAAACACAATAACAAATGGTCTAGTGACCACAAAGATGCGACAAAGCAACGATAGAAATCGTTAACAAACTTGTACTGTTAGAAATAGTATGGCTACTCGATAGTGTCGCACACATAAGCTTAGATTAATCTTAGCTGGACCCGACCATAAAACACGTCGGTGGAAGTTACGAAAACAAATCAGTTTAGAAATCAAGAACAGTGTGGTGAAAGGAAGATGGATCATGTTTTCCCCATCGTGGGTGGAGCATGATGATACATAAGTACTAGAAGTCACATTCAATTACGCTTGAATGCTGACAAATCAGAAAGCCTCGCAGTGCAAGTAGAGTAAACGACGAATGGGTCTAAACATCTCAATTGCCCCCTCTCCTGATGTTAACAAGCACTACCTTCGGACGAGTCAGATATCACGGAGGAGAACACTTGTCTAATCGTTCGCCAAAGGGTGAATATCTGTAGCGACCTAAAAGATTACCGTCTTTTATGTCCAACTTCACTGCCTACCAAATGTACATTAATCTTGCCTTTTTAACCTCCCTTACATCCGACAAGAGACTCGACTGCTTCGTAAATTACGTGTTAACGTTTGCACCTATCTCGCTTCATCGTCCATGTCTTTGTGTAACCTATCGAATATTGTACGCTGTGTCCAACTTCAACTGCCTTCGGATAACCGCCCTCGATTACGCGCACTGTCTCGGACTAGTATTTGCTAATCCTACAAATTGGTGACCCCGATTCTCATGCAGGAATTCAGGCCATTTTCATCGTTTGTATTTTTTTGTGTTCGTTCCCTTTTCTCGATTTTCTACGTGCATTTATGTTTCTTGTCTATTTTAGTAGTTGCATCGTGTATTTGTTCATCCTTGATCTCGATTTACAATTAGAAAGTGGCATCTGAGTCGCTTCACTGTGACTGTTCCAAGTTTCATAGAACACAGCCCAGAGGTTGGGTTTGCCATATTCGAGATCGAACTCGAAAATGAGGGCATGTAGACGGACCGTTTGAGGTATAATCAGCTCGTTCCACGACTTCCTTCGTCGGCTGTGACGCTGGTTCAGGACATCCTAGTCTACCCATCGAATGAGGCAAAGTAGAAAACGATGAAGCAAGCGATTTTATAGGAGTTACAACCCAGCACATGGGCTCGATTAGAACAGCCCAATGGTCTCAAGCTGGGAGATCGCAAGCCGTCGACGCTGTTCCACGAAATTCAGCGCATCGCTGGTCCCTTATTCTTGAGCGAAGAAGGGATAAACGAGCTGTGACTTGCACGTCTCCCAAAGCCATCGCCGATAATGCTGTCCATTTTCCAAATACGTCCCTAAAAAACTAGCTATCAAAATAGACGCTGCGTTCGAACGTTTTCCGCAGCAGACATACAGTAGCTTCGGTGACATATTCTCACCGATGAAAATCGAGTCTCAGATTTCCTCCAAGTCAGTTGCTTATTTGTTCACCGAGCTGCGAAATGGGTTTGCAAACGTTCCACCGTCATGCGAGACGGCATCATCAGTGCGTCGAGATGTGGAGTGTAATCTCGCTGATTGAATTGTCGACCCGTGATCGGCGTGCAGGTGACATTTCGAAAGTGACGGCTTCGACCTGTGTCCCGTGATCCCTACCGATTTCCTCGTGGCGGAGGTCGTCGCTTGGGTTGTTCCTATTCAAGCGGCGTCTCATAATTTCTCTAAGTTCTCTCAGTCGGAGGGTTGGTAAACTGGGTCAATCTCGATATGCATGTTGATCGAGCCTTGTGTTGAGAACCACGCTTCCAGGAATTCCCTTGCTCTTCTTGTTTCACCTCGTGTCAGGACTTCTGTTTTGGCCCAATCAAAGCTGTGTTCTTTTTCATCCACGTGTGCTGAGACTAGCGAAGATGCATAGTGTCTTTTGCATGCTTTTTTGTGCTCTTGTAATCATGTTGTTAATTTTCTGCCTGTTTGGCCAACATAGTCCTTTTCGCAATTTCTACAAAGTAGTCCATATACAACATTGCTTCGCCTATGAGCTTCCAGTTTCTCTTTCGGTTTCGACAGAGTTTTTCTAAGTGTAGCAGTTGGTTTGTGTGCTACGATGAAGTGATGTGGTTTGAATAGTCATCAAGCCGATCTGACCCTAAAGAAGAGGAAATTGCGCTACTTCGCAGCAGGCTAACAGCAATGAAGGTTTCGAAGCAGCGTGTGCCACGGTCAGATGCGGACCATCTTTTGACTACCGTTCACTGCGCCTCGTCTGTGCCTGCACTGAGTACATTTCGTTAGACACGAAAGCGCAACATTTTCTCTGCATGTAAGCCGTTAGATAATACAAGAACCTACGAAGAATTATGTTGGTATCATCATAAATATGGTGCAAAAGTCAGGCGTTGCCAGACTCCCTACATTAGGCGCGACAGCATACTCAGAGAAGCCAAATAGTCCGCATACCAAGGCATCCATCAAGAACAAAATAGGTCACTTGTTTTACGTTAAGGATCGGCGATTTTCCATCACTTTCCTCATCGACATGGGAGCTGAAATGAAATGTGTCAGCTTATACGCCGTAACGGCGCTTCGCTGCCGCGCGACCACCACCAGTCGCGCGCGGGCTGAGTATACCGCGAGGACGCCCACCCCTACGCGGATTCGAACCGGTGACCTTATGGTTGGAAAGCAAACGTGCCGACCACTCGGCCACCGGCCGAGATGAGCGTCATCCCTGCGAACGCAAACCACAAGCATTCAAAGCTCACATACAACCTGTGTGTGACCAACGGTTCTCCGATAGCTAAATACGGTCAGCGCACGATGGGCCTAGACTTAAATCACCACCGAGATTTTCACTGGGTTTTCATGGCCGTGTCTGTACGCTTCGCAATCACCAGTATGCATATTCTGCGCCAGTTCGGACTGCTTGTTAACGCTATTCGACACAGGCTTTCAGACAACCGCGCTAAACTAGGGGTTGAAAACGTTCTTTCAGACGCCCCGATTATCAGTCCCGTTTTCCGAATCGCCGATGTAGCTTCAGATTATGCGACCCAACTGTCTGAATACTCGCGATTAGTACGAAGAGCTGCAACCAGTCACGACAGTCGCTCAGCACATACTCACACGCGGCCCGCCAACGAATTCCCGAGCCAGATGGCTAGCCTCAGAAAAGTTACGCGCCGCAATAGCTGTATTCGAGCACATGTTTCAGCTCGGTAGGATCCGACCACACAACAGTCCATGAGCATCACCTCTCCACTCGGTACCGAAACAGACCAAGGGGACTGGCATCCTTGCGGCGACTATCGTGCCTCAAATACCGTTAGTACGCCCGATCGCTAATCGATCCCACATATCGTGGATTGCACTGCCCGTTTGGAAGATAAGAAGGTTCTTAGCAAGAACGACTTGGTACGCACATACAACCAAATACCGGTAGCAGAAGCGGACATCGCTAAAACTACCGGGACCACCCCATTAGGTTTGTTTGAATTCCTGCGCAAGCCATTTGGTCTAAAGAATGCCGCGCGAACTTTTAAACGCTTCACCGACCAAGCTTGTTGCGGTTCAGACCTCGTTTATGCTTATCTCGACGAGATCACAATCACGAGTACTGGCGCCACGTTTGAACGATTTTCGATCGTTTATCTCAACACGGGGGGAAGATCAACGCAAATAAGTGTTTGTTTGGTGTCGAATCGGTCAGCTTTCTCCGCCATCATATCTCTCCTGCAGGCGTGGTGTCACTACATAACAATAAAGCCATCATCGACTACCAAAAGTCTCATTCTTTCAAACAATTAAGGCGCTTCGACGGCCTCATCAACTTTTATCGCTGTTTCATACCTAGTTGTGCTTCGCTTATGCAGTGCTGCCTGGTGAACGGTTAGATGATCTAGATTATGCGGACGATATCGTCTTGCTTTTCGACAATGTTGAGGCGGCACAATCAACCCTGAATAGCCTACCCAGAGTGGTTCCATTATTTGGTATGCACTTCGCACCTTCAAAGTGCAAAGTGTTGCTGCAGGACCACCAGCCACTCGATGACCCCTTGACGCTTGCTAACGAGGAACTCGAGGTGGTTGATCAATTCACTTATCTTGGCAGCTGCGTCAGCAATGATGGGCGCATAGAAACTGACGTGAGCTCACGCATTGCAAAGGCCAGAGCTGCCTTCTTGAACCTGCGTCATCTTTGGCGACAGAAGGGAGTTTCCCTCCGTCTGAAAGGCCGGGTATACAAGGCCACAGTGAGGGCAGTTCTGCTCTATGGTAGTGAAACTTGGCCCCTTCGGTCTGAAGATCTGAGGCGCCTTCAAGTCTTTGATCATTGTTGTTTGCGAAGCATTGCTGGTGTCGGATGGCACCAACGTGTCCGCAACGATGATGTGCGTAGGCGAGTACTAGGTGGTGATGATCATGCTAGCTCCCTAGAACAACAGATAGCACTGAATAAGTTACGTTGGCTCGGGCACGTGCTACGCATGCCTAGTCACCACTTACCTAGGAGGGCCTTGTTCAGTCTACCAGGTGTAGGATGGCGCAAGGCTCGAGGTGGACAGAAGTTGACTTGGCAGCGAGAAATGAAGTCACGGACAACTAAACTGGGTGCCGTTGGTCCGTCTCGCCTTCCGGGTTGGAGTCCACGTGACTCACCTTGTGCTTGGCTCGAGACTTTACAGGACATGGCTCGCAACCGACACCAGTGGCGCGTCTGCTGCCGTCTCCTAATCGGGTTGTCTGTTTAAAGTGTGTTTGGTGCTGAGTTATCTGCGGGGTAATGGCTGATTATGACGCGTGGCAGTGAAAGCCGCAAGGAAGCTGTCTCGCCCATGACGCCTTATCTTTGCACGATAGCCAGCTGTTTGTGACGGTATGTTGTCTTCACAAGGTGTAGGCGCCTTGTCTCTGAATGTTTGCTTAGGGCATTAAGGTTT